AGTGAAACAACGTCCTCCACAACTAGACTGAAGAACAAAAAGGACAGCAACTTGTCTGTTCCCCTTCCCCCAATTCCCCAGCACTGTTCCTATCCCCCAATTCCCCAATAAAAATCTTTAAAAAAAAAGTGTGAGTTATGGATTACTGATAAGAAAATATTTAGCAGAGTAGTAAAACTCTTAAATACTAAAAAAGAATCTACTTGTATATATTTACTTGACATATATAAAATATTGCAAAGCAGGTATTTTTTACCTTTCAAAAAATTGATATTGCATTAAAAAAAAATCAAAATGAACCTAAATGTCCATCAACAGGAGATAGGTTTATAAATCGTCCATATAATCTTATGTACCATAAAAATAATATCAGAAGGCTGAAGCACAGCCTGTACAGTATGTATAAAAAGAGCAACAAAAATTAACACACATGCTTTTCCTCGTACACACATGCCACATCTCCTGGATAGACGTGGTAACTTTGCTCTCACTGGCAGAGTCACTGGTAAAGGCACAGCATCCCCAGGTCTCAGTCTTCTCACAATAAGAGGAAGAGAAGCCCTATGCTTCCAGTCTAAACTTCTCCAACTCTAGGGCTCTCACACAGAGAGAGTCGGTTAGTGAAAACTGGGTAGCCATCCTTTCCAGACTCAGATTCTCTTAGACGGTGACATCATCTACATGTAATCAAATAGTGAAGTGTTGCTTTTAGCACACAAAGACTAAAGCTGAATTCTACACTGCTTTCTACAGAGCTTACTCCCTGGTACCTCCTAAACTCCATACACGGTACCACCCCTTGTGGGCAAACTCTCACTATAACAGCATTCAAGTTCCTCTCCTTTTTCTACCCCCAAATCCTCTCTGTTCTTTAAGAATTCTCCCAGAATTGGGCCAGCCTAGTGGCGCGTTGGTTAGGAATTGGCTTGGGATGCCAGCTCTGAGCAGCAGGGCCCCGGTTCGGATCCCACATATGAGGGGCAGTGACGCTGCGCCCTCTACAGCTAAGATGGTGAACAACAGCTCAACCTGGAGCCGGGCTGCTGTGAGTCGCCGGCGATGGCATAGGCTGCAGTGGGTCTGGCCAGGGCAGTGGGCGTCAGCCGCTGTGAGTGGCCGTCCAATGGCCAGTGAGCAACTGCCTCACCCAGGAAGAGCGCAATGATCGCAATACCAACATGGGACAGTGAAGCAACATCCTGCACAACTAGACTGAAGAACAAAAGGACATCAAACTTATCTGTTCCCCTTCCCTGATTCCCCAATGCTGTTCCCTCCCCCAATTCCCCAATAAAATCTCTAAAACAAACAAAAAAAGTATTTGCCCAGAATTACTTTCTAATTCTTCCTTCCACATGCATGTACAATTACACTACTTAAATGGCAATAACATGTATTTTGCTTTAATTTAATGTCTATTAAACATACTATATGACCCTCAACTATTTAGAGACTATATAAGGACCCCAAAGGCAGAGGTTTTATGTCTTCTATTTCTCTTGTGTGCGTAATCCATATCTAGTAAGCGGTTCTATATACACTGATGGCAACAAGAGGTGACAGCCTGAGTCGTTTTCCTGCTGTCATATTTCCCATAGGAAAGATTTTCTAATTTTCAGTTTGACACCTACATTACATAGTAATCCTCTTTCAACTAAGGTAGAAAAGCTACTGAAAAGTACTATAATTTATAAAACCACAATTAGAAAACATTAAGATCTCACAGAAAATAAAGGGTTTGAATTCATGTGATGCAGCAAAAGCAGTTCTAAGAGGGAAGTTCATAGCTACACGGGACTACCTCAAAGAACAAGACAAATCTCAAATATACAATCTAACTTTACACCTAAAGGAACTAGAAAAAGAAGCACAAGGTCATATATGTCTGTGGAACACCTTTTTTTTTTTTTTTTTTAATTTTTATTGGGGAATTGGGATGGGAACAGTGCTGGGGAATTGAGGGAAGGGGAACAGACAAGTTGCTGTTGTTTTGTTCTTCAGTCTAGTTGTGGAGGACATTGCTTCACTGGCCCAAGTTGGCACCATCATTGCGCCCTTCCCGGGCGAGGCAGATCAGTCACCGGCTTCTGGACGGCCACTCACTGCGGCTGCTGGCCGCTCACGCTGGCTACACACGGTAGCCCATGGCAACCCACTGCCACAGGGGCTGCAGCCTACGCCGTCGCCGGCGACTCACGGCAGCCCAGCTCCAGGTTGAGCTGTTGTTCAGCATCTTAGCTGTGGAGGGCAGTGTCACTGGCCCTCATATGTGGGATCCGAACCGGGGCCCTCTGGCGTCCCAAGCCAGTTCTTAACCATCGCGCCACTCGGCCAGCCCTGGAGATGCATTTTAACAGAAATGATACAATCTTGAAAGAATACCATTCAGCAAAACTACCACACTCACTTGGCACGCCAGAACTGGCTACCTAAACAGTCTGCTGCACAGTTCAGGCACAGTGAGACCCAACCCTTCCGAGGGTGACATAAGAGCCCACACGCCCCATCTCCTCACCTTTCCGAAGGCAGTCGCTCCAGCACAGATGTGCGTGTAACCGAACTGCTTCTGAGTTGCCACGACCAGTGGTGTCAGCTCCTCTGAGGGTTAAACACACCTGATAAATACAGTACCTGACATTCCCACGCTCACTACTCAACAATGATGCACACGGGGCATTCCCCCACCGGGGAGCCTCACCTGGAAGGAGGCCCTTGTAGGCATCATGTTGGGCCACCAGCACTTTCCCGACACCGGCTACTTTGCAGAGATCTTGTGCCACCTGCGAATGATTGACAGAGGTTCTGATCATCCATTCACAGAAAGTGCAAACACTACAAATTTCAGGAGTGACATCTTCACAGCCAATTGTAAAAACTGTCATATCAGCACAAGGGCTACTGAGGAATAAAATATACTCTTCAACACAGAAAATCTTACACCACTTGATCTAACTGCCCACTGACCTTAAACAAAAATTCCTGCCTTGAAAAAGAAAAGTACTTACTGATAAACCACAATTGACAAAGCTCTCTATTCAAATTTAGTTGTCAACTGTCCTCTTTGCCTCTCGCTCAATGTAAGTGCAAATTCATGATCTTAAAAATGGTGAAAATGAGGCAACAGTTATTTTCCACTGTCTCTCACAACAGTCACACGGCCAGTCCCTTTCAGACTTTGGGCTTCCTAGGGGTAAAGAGCAAGTCACAGCACTTTATTTGGCAAGAATAATTTCTGCTGATGGTAAAATCAGTGAAGCTGGGCACGACAGAAAACCTCACACACGGTCACTGTCAACCTCTGAGTTCCTGTCTATCTACAGATATTTGTCTGTGAGAAAACAACATATTTTTTTATTTTTGTTCCTCATTTTTCCTGTTTGGATCAAATCTCCTGTATAGGGAAGGCGGTTAGAATTCCAGTTGGTAAGTCTGTGTAATCACAGCCTGCTGGTTTCTGCTTTAGCAGAAACAGGCAATCACAGTGCGGTCTTCTGCCTTCTTGTCACCGCCAGACTCACTGAGGAGCGGGCGTAAAAGGCTGTGCCTCCAGCAGGATGCAACACACAAGGACCTCCATGGGACCACGGACTCGCCGCCCGCAGACTGCGCTGTGCTATCCAAACTCCCCTTGCTCACCGGCAAGAGCTCTGGCACCACGCGTTAGAATCACTTGCTGCTTACAGACAGCAGTCTCAAACCCTGCCCAGGCCATGAACAGTCTCTTTACACAGTCACTCATGGCTTTTAAGATTGGCACGTGACATGGTAATAAAATCATGACTGAAGAGATGATCTCTGCCTTTTCTCAAAATAATAGTGAATGTAAGATATCATTTCAAACATCTTAAAACCAATATTAGAATAATTATTTACAATCACAGCAAAATAAACAATCAAACCCAGAACACGCACCCAGAAAAGGCAGTACAGCCAGATCCTATGAGTGTCAACTATGTAAGACTCTGACACACATGACTTAACCCCACACCTGCCAGAAGACAGTCTTTTAAGACGCCGATCTCACATAAGAAACTAGAAGCGACACTGGCATTCCAAATATCATTACCTCACATGCGCTGCAACCATGCCCTTTAATAAAAACTACCCAGGATCTTCTAGAAAAAAGCCCGCGCTCTCCAGGCTTCTTCCCCAGAGATGCACGCCCCCAGCTATACCACACACCCAGCAACTCCTGTGTGGTGCGAGGGAAATGGTGGCTCAGGCTGCAAAAGCTTAACTGAAGCGCAATTTCAGTGGCACAGACCCTGCAAACCCTATCATAGCACCTTTCCAGGGGGCTGCTTTACAAAGCTGTCACTGTCCTATTTCAACAAGAACAAAAATGAAGACTGTCTTTCCGCACCCAGCTACAGTTTGGAAAGCACAGTACTACTTCCACTGGAGTTCTCATAACAATTAAAAAGTAACACCCATGATACTTTGTCCAGATTTACCACTCGCAGGAATTAAAAGCAATTAGCAGGTATATTCATCAATACAAAAAAGGAATCGGCTATTAACCTCTAAGGCGACTCGAATATTATCATTCTACTTGGTACCTGATGGCACATGATGGTGCCAGTGGAACTAAATCAAGTATTCCACCTCATTTCAAAAGATAAAATGCTTAGTGAGCAAACTTAGTTCCTTTTTCACACGCAGTAATGGTTGTGACACTGGCCATTTAATGAGGCTGAGAGCCCAGTTTGGGTTACAGTCCTCACCATAATTCTCCATTGCCATCTTTCCCTGTCTCTTGATAGAGATTATATTTGCTATGATTGACCTTAAAAATTTCTCACCTTGTCACATTTGGTCCCGGCTACTAAGCAGGACACTTCACCTCCCAGACGTTTGGCTGCAGTGATGGTATTTAATGTAATGGGTGCTAGAGTATCGTTTGCATGCTCAGCTATTACCAGGGTACTCTGAAATCGTAGCAATGAAACCTAAAAAGAGGGAGAAAATGGAAAAGAACATTGTAATACAAATAGTTTTTTTTCTTTTTTACTGACTTAAGCATGTGTGCTTTAAAGAAAACTATACAATATACAGTTCTATAAATGCATTTATAAAATACTTGCTCAAATGCAAAATTGGGCTATTATGTCTATAACTCTATTACTAATATACCTAATAAGAACAGAAAATGCAAATTAGTGTTCTACTGTTAAAATTTTTTTTAATTATTTCAAAACAATTTTCCAACTAATCTGTGATAGATGAGAAAGTTACTGTATATAAATTTAACATCGTTAAACGGAACATGTGACTTTCAAACTAGGAATCAAACTGCTGCCAATTCCATCCACTTGCAGCAATGCTGCTAAAGAACACAGTACATCCAGAAATAATGGGTCTGAAATCAATTACTTAAGTTGATTTCTATTGTTTCAGGCAAAATGTATTCCATGCCAAAATAACTAAAAATGTAAATGTCTTTAAAACAACACACACAGCAATTCTGCTGAGGTCTCAACTGTTCAAATATGCTTCCAAATTAATAAAAAAAAAAAACTTTTAGAGAGTGCCTTAGAACAAAACCATACCTACCCATACCCACTGTAGACCATCAAGAGACCAGCAACAGTTCATGGTCATCTAGAAAGATTTCAAACACCAGGAACACAAAAATGGACAAAAATAGTCCCTGCACTCAAAAATGTCAAGGGAAATAAGACCTGTTCACATACAATTATAAGAGAGAACCGTTTTTCAATTAACAGAGAGATCCAAAATGTTGGAGGCTGCAGATCATGAAGTAGAGAGGAAGGAAGGAAGGAACTGTAGGTGTTCCTTTCATGTGAAAAGGTGAGGGAGGTACCACAGGCATGAGGAAAGAAGCAAATTTTGGATCTATCCTTATGGGAAAGAAACGGCACTGAGCAATGATAAAAGGAGGCAGTGATGGTCGACTGGCATGGTTGCCTGGCTTCGTTCAGCAATCATCTTCAGATCTGGAGCAGCTGCAGTGAAGCAGCATAATATAAAATTGACCCAGAGTTGGACATTTACGAGGGGGGTATGAATACAGGGAAGGCAGGCACAGGGCTAAACACTGGTTAACAACAGAATTGACAAAACACGTTTTTTTCATTTACTATATTGTTAAATATTAATTGCTATATTAGTTTAACCAGTCTCTGCAGTCACTTGGGTTATTAATAATGTAATACTATTATAAATAATGCAAAGACCATCCTCATAGCTAAATTTCTGCACTCATCTCAACCAGTGAGAGCGACTTTTAGTCGAAAGACCCTCTGATGGGAGCCTGCCCAGACTGTAGTCTAGCAGCTCTGTCCACAGAAGACTAAGCCAGGTTCTGCTCAACCTTCAACACAATAGGGAGCCCCCCTCTCCTAGACTTCCTCCCTCGGCTTCACCCCACCTTCTCCTCAGCCCTCTAAACACCTCTATCCCCTGTCAACACAATCCCAGAGTGGGAGCCAGGGGCCAGAGACCCTAGCGCAGGCAAGCCTTCCAGGGGGTAGAAATGCCTCCCCAGCTGGGGAGAGGAAGGGCAGAGCACAGCAGACTGTGCCCAAGGTAAGAATCACTGCCATGTGTCAATGGAAGACATTGCTTTTTTCCTCCCTTTGTGTTTATTCAAAGGGAGCAAAGAAGGGGAGAAAATGAGACCTTTGTCGTTGCAAATCAAGTACCTGTTTGTATACCTTTTTATTTTCTACATTAAAAATTTGCCTTCTTAGGGGAGATGGTTTAAGTTAAGGTTAGAAATCTTTATGCACATCTTAAGACTCTTTTCTTTTAACAAGTTCCTACAGGTAGAAGTGATAGATCAAGAGGTAGGCACACTTTTCAACGCTTTTAATACTGCCTGATGCACAATGTTCTCCAGAAAAGTTGTAGCAAATCACAAGAATTCACAATTCCTGGGATGGGGTGAAAGTTCTCAGAGGCAAATACCATACCTGCTCATCTTTGTATCCCCAGATGCTAATACAATGCTTTATTCCAATAAATATCTGTAATTATATGGTACTTTGTTTCTTTAATCAGAAGGGCACACCATCTTGTGAAGAACTTCATAATTAGGACCCAATGACATAATTTATTATTTAAATCATGTTTCACAAGAATTGCCAATAACACATTAGTACTAATATACATCAGACACCAATTTTTTTTATTATGTTTCCCACTTCATTTACCATAAAAATTATGAGATTCCATCAACATTTGGAGAATAAATCCAAGATTTGGTGGCAGAAGGCCTATATTTGCTGTAAATTATAGTTCTATCAACAGATAAATTAGGTAGTTCTCCTAAGGGATCCTCAAGCTTTTTAGAACTTCCAGGGGGACATTGGTGTGTGTGTGTGTGTGTCTGTGTGCGTGCATGCGTGTGGTGTGTGCACACATGCGTGTGTCATCTTACTTAAAACTCTATGATGCAGGTACCAGCATTACCCTGACATTACAGGTGATGAAGCTCAAGCTACACAGACAGGAAGCAGAGCCAGGTTAGAAGTCCAGGTCATCAGACTCCAGATTTGGGGTTTTAATTACCACTCACATCAAAGCAGCACCATTTTAATTGCTTTATACCTGGGTCAGTCCTGTAAGATTTCACTTAGCAATACTCTCCTTTAAAATAAATAAATAAATAAAAATAGTGCTGGTCAAAAAGAAAAATGACATCCACAGCTTCTTTTCCAGCTGTAAAAATTCTGTAACCCTAAAATCCTACTTTAAGGAGAAGAGTGGTATAGAATACCACTGAAGATTCACAAAGCACAGATCCATTACTGAAAAGGTGTTAACAAATGTCATTTTGTTATTTTATCTTATACCCCACTGCATCTGTATTCTTTGGGGCCCCTCCTTTTCATGGAGAAAAGGAGCCAAATTCTTAAACATTTGAAAATAACGACTAAAATACTTAATAAAGTAATTACCGAGAAAGGAATTGCCATCTCTTCAAAACACTGCTACTTAAGAAAAAGATAATAAAAAGAGAGAAAAAAACAAAACACTACTACTTAAATCAAGATTAATGCAGGCTGCCGTCACCATAAATTCTTAGTTACCAACCTTACCGGGCCCTCAAAACAGCGTGGCCCTGTTGCCAGGATACACTTGTGGGCACTCTCACTCACTCCCCACGCCACTCCCTCATATATGCTCTTCTGGTGTTCCTCAGACCCCTGAAGCAGTCTGTTCCCCACGTCAGCAGAGAGGCTCACCTCTTACTACACCTTGAAAACCGAAGGACCTGCTTCCCCTTCCTGATCTCCACCCCAAAACCCCTGACCTGCCCCATCACCGCGGAAGCTGCTGCAGGTCCTTCCCCCAAGGTCTGATCTCTTTATCTGATTCCATTCTCTCAAATCTACTCAGACTTCTTTCTGTTGTCTTCTTTCTGTAATGTCTCTAACCGGTTCCTTGCAGGGAAACATTTAAACATGTTCAAGGCTCTCCGGATTTTAATGAATCCCCAAATTAAAAATCTACCACTTCATGGCTCAGTTGGTTAAGAGCTCACTCAAGAGTTTGAGCTCTGAGCAACAGCGGTTCGAGGCCAGCCCGAGCTGAGCAGCCGCTAAGCTGCCAATAGGTAGCAGGATGGCTCAGCTAAAAAAAAAAAAAAAAAAAAAAAAAAAATCTACCACTTCACCTTCCACTCCAGCTAATTCCTCATCTGCCATTCATGCCTAAACTTCAGCAAATGCAATATTATTCAGCACACACACACACACACAAAGTTGTCACTGTGAAAAGACATGGAGGAACCTTAAATGTAAGTGAAAAAGGCAGTCTGGAAAGGATACCCACCGTACAATCCCACCTATGTGACAGGCTGGCAAAGCTATGGACAGAGAAAAAAGATCAGTGGTTGCCTGGGGTTGGGGGAGAGAAGGATCTGTAGGGCAGTGAAGCCACTCTACATGGTCCTGTAACGATGGACACATGTCTTTATCCCACAGAAGGCGTAACGACGAGAGTGGCCCCTAACCTAAACTCTGGACTCTGGGTGATAGCCACGTGTCAGTGCAGGTTTAACAGATATAGCACCAGGTGGGGAGCGCCAATAGTGCCCCCCACTATTGTGGGATGTGGGGGTGCTGTGCACCTTCTGCTCAATTCTGCTGTGAACCTGAAACTCCTCCAAAAAATAGTCCATTTAAAAAAATCTGCTGCTTTAAAAACATCCTTATAATACTCTACTCTGTACAATGAACTATGAAAACAATTTTAAGACTTTAGGTCAGCCATTCTCTAAGGCCGTTCATCTGAGCCACAGAAAATGAGATGACTGTTTTCTTCATTGTCCCCAAAATAAACATAGCTGGGAACATTCTAGACACATAGGTGAGAAGTTAATTCGTTACATACAGTGGATGCTCTAAGATTACAAATGCTCGTTGCCGCCTTAATTGTGTCCTCCTTGTGTGTGTGGATGTGCACGTCTCCTGGAGAGCACTGCTGGGGACACATCCTGGAAGCACCAAGAAAATAGACTGGGGTGGGGAAGCTGAATGCCATCAAAGGCAGGTCTCAGCTGCCACCCAAGGAGCCCTGGAGCTGGGGTGGGTTAAAGGGGTCAATGTCCTCCCTCCACCCTCTCAGAGCCTAGCTGCTTGAAAATAACATCAGTGCCCTCCACCTCTGTGGCCTCACCTCTTGTTCTCCTCTACCCACAGCACACTGATTCTCATTTCCACTATGACACCGAATCCACTCTCTTCAAAGTCATGCAAACCTCACTATAGCTAAGTCCAATGAACACATCAGGGTCCTTCTCTTATTCAACCTTAGCAGAATTTGACACTGCTTTTAGGAGCAACCAAGGAGATTTACGGCTCAGGAGTTCCACATGTGTTAGAAGGGAAAAAAAAAGCTGGACTCTAACTCCCTACTTTACCCTTACAAATCCACTCAAAACCAGACCCCTACTATCTTTGAAAATTAAGTAGGGTAAGGAGGGGGGTGAGGGTCTTTTCGCTTCTTCACTCAAAAATTAAAAAGTGGGAGTAAGCTATAAAATCTTCCCAAGTTCTACTGAAAAATGTACTATATAATTAATGAAAGTCACCTATCCCTACTTTAACATACATTTTGCAATAAAAAAATATATATTACATTTCTGTACTTCAACTAAATAACTTACTTTAACCTCTGCGGTCATAAAATACAGTAACTTTTAATCATGATTAGAAATGTCATATGACATTGATTATAATATTAAAAACAGTCAATTTACTTCGCTTTAAAAACAGACAAGACTCTTAGCAGACAATGGCAGGCAGCATAATTTTACAGAATTCACCTTATGCAATAAATCTTTTAGAAACACATCAAAATTGCCTTTCTTCTTACAAAAGAAATTAAAATTTGCATGAGAATTTCAGAGTTCAATCTCATTCATCAACACCAAACCATGGACTCTGAATAATGTCCTGTTCCTTCATACCAGTTTTCCAGGTTCTGAATCATGACAGATATGCCTTCCTGTCTGGCAATAAACACAGGAACACTCCAATGACCTTGCAAAGTGTTGCTTCACTCTCCACATACCTCTTTGGTATCATGTTAGTGAACAAATTAATGTCAAATATAAATGAATCAAATCATACTAATAACTCAAATTAATAGCCCTACAAGAATGTTAACTAATTGCAAATGCCTGTTGCCTGTTTTCCTCTTAACGTGTTCTCTAGCTATATATTGTTGATGTAAAATACCGCCTTCATTAACAGATGACGTTAAGGAGCGCCCCCCAAAGGTGAAGGACTTTGCTCGTGAGCACAAATAAGTCAAAACTGGAAATGGAACTTAGAAACCAAATGCAATTCATTTAACTTACATTCTAACAGTGTAAGGTATCTCTTTTTACCATTAATTATGGTAAAAAAAATCATAAAATTTACCATCTTACCCATTTTTAAGCGTAGTTTAGTAGTGTTAGCTTTATTCACATTGTTTTGTCCACAGTTCACAATAATCTTTTCAATCCGTTAAGAGGTTAACTTAAATCTGTTATTAAAAATACAGTTTCATGGGCCGGCTGAGTGGCGCGATGGTTAAGAACTCGCTTGGGATGCCAGAGGGCCCCGGTTCGGATCCCACATATGAGGGCCAGTGACACTGCCCTCTACAGCTAAGATGCTGAACAACAGCTTGACCTGGAGCTGGGCTGCTGTGAGTCGCTGGCGACGGCGTAGGCTGCAGCCCCTGTGGCAGTGGGTTGCCATGGGCTACCGTGTGTAGCCAGCAGCCAGCGTGAGCGGCCAGCAGCTGCAGTGAGCGGCCGTCCAGAAGCCGGCGACTGATGTGCCTCGCCTGGGAAGAGCGCAATGATGGTGCCAACTTGGGCCAGTGAAGCAACGTCCTCCACAACTAGACTGAAGAACAAAACAACAGCAACTTGTCTGTTCCCCTTCCCCCAATTCCCCAGTGCTGTTCCCATCCCCCCAATTCCCCAATTAAAAAAAAAATACAGTTTCATGGAAATTTATCTTCCTAATTTTACTCACAGGTAGCTACAGAACAATTTTTTGTTTTTAATTTCAAGAGTGGGGGTTTCAAATAAGCTATTTTGACTTTAAGACAAATTTAAGTTAAAGAGAAGACAGTGTGAAGAGACCCCCATTTTACCATTTTAGAAATATGGGACAACTTGAACATCAGAAAATTTAAGAATTATAATGGATTATAAAATCTATGAGTTTATACATACATACATAAATAAGCAAGAAGGGAATCTTCTTCCTTATAATAGAAGGCCAATAAATGTAGAAGTTATGATGGAATTGGAAAAAATCACCATTTTACATCATAAGTAATCATTTCTCAGACAAGAATCTTATCAACAAATGTTAAGATTAGTGGATGAAATTCTGATGATAAACAGGAGAGTTACAGTCTCAGTGTCTCCACAAGTTAGTTAAAAATCACAAGGGGAAGTAACTTGATAGTGCAGAGACCTGGTGAACAACACTTTAGTCAATTAAAGTTAACATCAAATATGGGCTAAACCAACATCATGAGTCTCCTAACACAATGCAGCAAGAACACGTAACTTCTGTGATACTCCTCTCAAAAATACAGCCTGAATCTAATCATGAGGAAAAACCAGACAAACCGAAATCGGGGGACAGTCAACAAAACAGGATGCCTGTACTCTTCAAAAATGTCAGTACCATCAAAACCGAAGAAATGATGAGGAACTTGTCTAACTGCAGGGACATGAGAAGTAAACACAAAGCACAACCCTGGGCTGTCCCAGACCAGAACACGAACTGCTATGTTCATGAGACAATTGGCAACACCTGAATAATGTCTGTAGCTTACAGTATTGTGTCACTATTAAACTTGCTGATTTTGCCAATGATACTGTCGTTATGACAGGTGAACCTCCTTGGTCCTAGCGAATACACTGAATTATTTAGGAGTAAAGGGCATCTCTGCAACATATTCTCAAATGATTCGGAAAAATAGTACGTATCTCCCAAGAGAGATAAAGCAAGTGTGCCAAACTGTTAACAGCTGGTGGAACTCGGCAAAGGGTTTTGAGAACTCTTTGTACTATTCTTTCAACTTGCCTAGAAGTTTAAAATTTCAAATGTTAATATTTGCGTGTCCATTGTAGAAGCGCTCCACCATTCTTTACATGCTTGAAAATGAAATCTCCCAAACGATCCTAATGACTTCAGAGCAGCTATGTGACTTCTGTTTGACTTCAAATTTTAAAAATAAGTCAAGGTCAACGTCCGTGGCAAACCACCACCAGGATTTGGAAATCCCATCTTATGTATATTGGCAAACCGGGTTACTAATAATTATTAACGTTAACCACTCTTTATTTTCTCTGTTAGCTCTACAAAGTAAGTGTTAAAGGGTCCCCGCCAGAATTATATCTCTTGGGTCAGACTTCTAACCTGTCCACGAAGCTACCGTCCCGTTACTGCAAAATGTCTTTTTCTGCAAGTTTGGCTCGGATATCTGGAATTTTCCCAAATCCACGACTTCGACTTGTGTCTAGAGCCTCGGGGGGGGGGGGGGGAGGTAGTGGGAGGCAGGCTGGGGAACATTTTGTATGGAACAAGGAATACACAAGGGCCTACAGCTGTATCTAGAAAGATTGTCAGCTGTCCTGGGAGAAAACCCCTGGGGCGAGTAAGTCAATACGCGCGCGCGCACACGGTGTACAGCAAGCAGAAAACGTCAGCGAAGTTTCTGACCCACGCTGAGCAAGCTCTTTCTCACGTCGCCTAACTGGAAATTAAAACTCTTAACAGACACCACCCAAATCACTTGTTCCTTGACTTGCAGTCTAGGTCCAGCGGCTGTTGTCCCTTTTCCTTGGGATAAATCACCGTTTCCTATCAGTCTTTCCCGAGAACGGTAGACACACACAGGTGGTCAGCTCACGATGTGTTACTGAGGGGAGCCTCAAAAACGCACCGCCCCCCCCCCTCACGGTTCCCAGGCTGGTTAACGGCGCTCAGCGGGCTGACGGGCAGCAGCTGCCTCTCGGAACAGGCTCCAGCTGTCCGACAGGATGCCGACCCCCCCACCTCAGCACCGCCCGCGAGCCACGGGCCCTTCGTCCCCCGCGCTCCACCCGGAGCGCATTCGAGCGTCCACACGCGCCCAGGGAAAACGTGTCACTCTCCCAGAAACGTCCGCTTCCAGGTTTTACACTCTTTCCCAGACAGCATCCCGGCGGCGACATTCCCCCCCCCCGGGGGCGCGCGGCCTGCTCCCCGCAAGTGTGGAGAACCTGGCGACACCGAGACCCGGTGTGGGGGACAGGGCTGGGAGGGGGGCCGGCAGGAGCGCAGGTTGCCTTTTCGGGGTCACCCTGAGCCCCGCCCTCTGACCTCGGCCTCGCAAGTAGTCACGGCGTCCCAGAACTTTGGGCCCGAGGCCAGGCCGGGCCGGGCCCGCTCGCGCGACGACCAATCAGGTCTGGGAGCCGGTGGCCTTCGCCGAGACCGTCCACGGGAGGCACGCTGAGGCTGGACCGTCACCGGGCGCGGCCCTGCCCGCCCGCACTCACCGCCCGCCGGAGCCGCCTAGGAGCCGCCGCTCGAAACATGGTCGCCGCTGCGAGTCGCCTCAGAACCGTCTGCCTCACAGCCGCCAGACGCGGACTCAGCTGCGCCGCCCGTCAATCACCGCAACGCTCGCGAGACGCACGGACGAGAGCGAACGCCCCGGGCTGAGAGCGCGAGCTCGCGGTTCCTGCTTGCCCATTGGACGGCCGCGCGGCCAATGGGGACGGCGGAAAGTTGGCCCGGCTTGGGAGTAGGGCAAAGGTGAGGCGGAGGTTCTGCGCGTGGCGCTGGTGCGGCGGCGCGCGCAGCCTCCCAGGCCCGCCCCGCCCCGCCCCTGCGCCGACGACGTCACTCTCCTGGCTCTGAGGTCCAGCCCTCTCCCTCCTGTTAGTCACAACGGTACACCTGCAACGTGTTAAACACATTTTCCAAGTTTGGGCATGTAAGACTAGAATGCGTAACATGTGGACCTCACCAGACTCTGGAGAAACACACAAGTAAACATATCATTCCTGTTGCGCGAGGAGGGATGCACCGAACGGGTGATATTGGAGCTGGGTTCCAGGGGAACGGGCAGTGTGGACGCAAACTGGCAAGGATCGTGACGGGAAGGTGCAAGGACAAGGGGTAGGAAGGGCTCTGCTGCCGGCAGGAGGCAGAACGACTGGAGATAGGGCCGGGGGTGCGGACGGAAGAGTAGACAGATGGGGGTGTAACTTGGGGCGCACCCCAGCCCCTCCCCCCCCCAAGCTGCTTTCCACACCGCTGACTGCCGGGGGACTCCGGACCTTGGCGCCCACACGTCCAGCCGCCTCCCCAGCCTCTCTACGGGATGTCCCTAAACGCCTCAAACGCACCTGTCCACAAACGACTCGGCCTTCCCTTCCGGATGTAACGCTCCTGTTTTCCGTTTCCACAGGAACTATTTCCCACCTCCGCCCAGCTGCGCAAGCCAGAAACCTGCGGTCATACTGGACTCCTTTCTCTCCTCATCCCCCATCCTGTCGGTAAGTTAAAGCGGATCTACCGCCAAAACAGCTTCCAAATCCACCTGGGACTCCGCCCGCCCGTTTGGCTTGCTGCACTGGCTGGCTCCACCCTCCCGCCCACCCATCTCCCCTGCAGCCCAAGGGTCAGCTGGTGATGGTGCGCCCCTGTTCGGTGGCTCACCGCTGCTTTTAGGATAAAACGCAACCCTCTTAACACGCCTTACACGCCCGGGGGGAGCTGATGCTCATGGGGGCATCACTGCGCCCCTCCTCTGTCCCCCAGTTGAACAGAGAGAGAAGGCAGCTTTCTGCAAGCCAGGAAGAGAGTCCCGAGCAGAGCCCTACCTTGCTGGCACCCTGACCTTGGACTTCCAGAGCTGAGAAAACATGTTTCTCTTGTTCAAGCCACCTAATCTATGGTACTTCGTGATGGCCGCCGAAGCTGAGGATGGTCCATCGACTTCCATCGTGCAACAACAAAAAGACACCTATTACTGACACATGCAACAACGAGTCTCAAAAGCATTGCACCAAGTAGGAAAAAGCCAGGTACAGGACATACGATTCCATTCACATGCAGTCTGTAAAAGGAAAAAGTAAGGGACACAGAGCAGGCCAGGGGTCTCCAGGAGAGGGGGGTTGGTGTCTCTCAGGGCTGAGGATGGAATGGGGAGTGACTGCTAATGGGTGTGGGCTTTCTTTGGGGAATGGTGGAAATGTCTACAATGGATTGTGGTGAATATATTAAAAAGCATTGAACTGTACTCCTCAAATGTCAAACTGCACATTATGTAGCTACACACACACATAGATGCACATGTACATCCCATAAGGGATGTTATGATAAGTCCTCTCGTTTATTTTCTTTCAAAAAATAAACATCGTTTGAAAAAGCCAGTAATTTAACTGTGAATGATGACAAACGACTTGTAACATCTTACACACAAACTGTGACTCACCCGTGTTTTGGGGCTCCCTGACTGGGAACTGCTGCTTTACGCCTAGTTTAACATGCTGTACACCCTGCACCTCTCTGTCATCCATCAATATGGCTCGAATTCACCACTTTCCAGAGCTGCTCCAGAATTTCTGTGAAAGCGTTTTTGGGGCAGTGGCCAGTTAGACACGGAGGCCTCGGGATTTGTCTCAAAGCTGTTTGCATAACAGACCCACTTTTTCACTTAAAATCTGGAAGCCAATGGAGACTGGACCCCAGGGTACTACTGCTGGCCCCCTTCTCTGTTTCAATGTGGGCCACATAAAAATGGGCCTGTATTCGTAAAACCTGCTTCATATTTTCAAGGGTCATCTGTGTTCTCAATAAGACATTACTTTGCAACATTCTGCCTTGCTAAATAGAGCACGTAAAAGTGGGCCAAACTTCTTAGCAGTGTCTGCCAACAAGACTTCTTCCTTCGTGCTAAAAACACCTACAGATGATGTTAATGGTGTCACTTTCAGATTCTCCTTTCAACTTATCTGTTCCTTCCCATGTGTTGTCATTTCTCTGTTTGAAAATCATGACCGTGAAACCTCTAACATTTATGGGTTATGCAAACAGCTTCCCTTGGTATATTTTTAATAATCACGGCTCTTATTATTACCAGATGTTGAAATCCCAAATGATAACAGAGTGACAGACTTTAAGGATAAGATTATTTGGGCAGGGGAAAGGTGATGTTTTTATTCGGAGATAGCAGGAGTCTGACCTGGGTTTGTATCCGATTTTTCCCACTTTTAGCTGAGATGTCTTAGGCAAATGCCTGAATTTCCTTAAGATGCTGATCCCCTGTCTTCACTGGTCAGAGAGAGTGCTGCTAATGCCGTCCTTAGAGGGTTTTGGTGACAATGTTGTATTAGTTGTCTGTTGCTGTGTAACATATCAGTCCCCAAATCCAGCAGCTTGAAACATGTATTGTCACACGGCCTCTGAGCGTGAGGAATCACGGTGTGGCTCAGCTGGGTGGCTCTGGCTCAGTCTGTCACAAGTTGCAAACTACTGGCCAGAGCTACAGTCTCTGGAGGCCGACGTGGGACTGGAGCACAGGTTTCTAAGCTCACCCACGTGGCTGTTGGTACGAGACCCATCCATACGGCTTCCACCAGAGGCAGTGATCAGAGAGACCGACAGAGACAGACAAGCACCGAGACATAAGCTGCAGCCTTTTACACCCTACACTCAGCAGTGACATACTGTCTGTCATGACTGCTATATTCTACTGGTTGCACTAACCTATTGATAGAATGTGGGAGAGTACCACACAGGGTGAGCATAACCGCAGGCAGGGGTCGCCCAAAGCCATCTTGGAGGCTGGTGAACACCTGTGTATGAAGCACCCAGGAGGGACACCTGGACACCACAGTCTCCACAGCCTCGTCATGAGCACATTGTGTGCAGGCCCTCTTCTAGGCCCAGGAAGGACAAAATAGACACAGTCCTTGCCCTCAAAATATGTTTTAGCAGGTGCCCCAAAAATATGTTTTCTCCCCATAAGAAAGAGACAACAACCAACTTCCTAAAAGGAGACTGCTAATCAGAGGTACAGCCACAATCCAAGTAATTCCCACATGGGAAAGTAGGGACACCCTCCCAAAATGTGCCATCAAAGTTGGAGTGTCCTTTGCAATTCCGTTTAGAGGCTGAGAATTTGCATGAAGGATCTCATGGAAAGACAGCCATTAAAACTGTCTGTGAGAAAAAGCTGTACCAACCAAGCTGACGGTCACCACGGTCATGCAAAACTGGTTAGTTCCCAAACCTCTCCTTTCAAACCTTGGCTCTGGTGTATAAATACACCAGTACATAAGGCTCTAAACTCCGTGAAAGCGACTAAGGCAGGAGCTCTCCGCTGGCAGTGACTCATCCACTGTCAGTTTTGTTGATATTTACTATGACGTATGCACAATGTATAAGGTGACCTTGAGGTCAACATCTTCTAGAATGCACTGTGACCCCCTCCTGCTTTGTCCCGATTAGTGATACTTTCCTTGTGTTAGAATAGTCACATTTCAGGCCCTTAGAGGAGGCCTGTATGACTCATGGGATTAATGGCAAAGAACTGGCCTGCACTGTCAAACGAACCTTGCATCTCTTAGCCTTCCCGATGCTGAAGTGAAGCCTGAGGTGTGCACCTGAGTACCGAGGTCATACTCTGACTTCACACGTGCCCATCTCTCCGACATGCCCACGGGCATAAGGGAACCCGAGGACTCAGTGGTGCAGGAGGGTCTGCAGCTCCCTAGCTGAGATCCCCGGGGATGGCGACCCTCCCCGCTCACACCCTTTCCACGGAAGATTTTCTGGGTCGGCGGCTCTTTGCTGAGGGAAACTGGCACCACCTGTGCTCGCAGAGTCAGCTCCTCCCTGAGAAGGGGCAGCGGTAATATCTGTGCTACTCAGGGCTGCATTCTCAGTGCTCAGAAGAGGGATTTCAAGTGACCGCCATTAGGGAGTCCCCAGGGACTACATTGTCACTTGGCCTCCAGGCATCTCCACACTGAGCCACTTACACCATGAAACTGTACCGAGCACTGGAGACAACTGGACGCCCAGACCTTCCGGAACCCCCCCATTTCGGGCTCATTCCTGCCCCTCAGCTTTGTTGCCAGGTGCCTCCTCCTGACTCCCGAGCCTCAGCCCAAGATGAAGTTTTGAGCATCTTGCTACCAAATGGGAAAAATCAAGATGATGTCATGAGTCTTTCACTCAGCCCAATGGAAAGGACTCTTTTATTCTGAAGCTAGGTTTTTCTTTCTTTGGTGTCGATATGTTTCCCCCTAAATGAAATGATAATAGATAGTACTTGTTTTTTAATGTCTCACTTGGCCTCCAGGAATGTGAAAGTGCCACGTGATGTCCCGTTGTATTTTTCTTGGTTTTTGAATTCCAGAAGGCTGACACCCAGTGTCACACAGACTAGTTCAATGCCCACCTCACTCTTGAGGCCTTCCCTGGTGTTCCAGGGCTCACTTTATCTTTCTAAAAAAAAACCAAACAATTGTGGGCCGGCCAAGTGGCTCAGTTGGTTAAGAGTTTGCTCAAGACCGTGAGCTCTGAGCAACAGGATCTCCGGTTCAATTCCCACATGGGATGGCTATGCCCACCCGCAACTAACTGAACAAAGCACCTTGAGCTGAGCGGCACAACTGGACTTG